TTTTTCTCACAATTCCAATTTAATATCTCGCAATTCTGACTTTTTTCCTACAATTCCGATTTTTTTCTCGCAATTCCGACTTTTTTCTCGCAATTCTGACTTTTTTCTCGCAATTCTGACTTCTATCTCTGATTACTGAGTTTACATTCTTGAAATTATTTTTTCCGTCACCATAAAAAAACTTCTTTTGCGATTCTGAAAGTGCAGTGCATTGTGGGAAACACTATTTCACGCAGAGTACACAGTAGGCATACTGCAGAAACAGTAGAACAGACAGCGTATGCACTGCAAGTGAGTGATGCAATAAACGACACAATAAAACAAAACAGACCACTAAGATGATTAGAACAGGAATGCTGTAGTTTTGTCGAATCATTTGCGCAGTTTCAGTGTCTCTCTGAGCCCAGGTCTCAGAGCGTAAGAGCTTCAAGACTGCAGTTTGGCAGAATGCGAGTCTAAACACACACACACACACACACACATGTGCGAGCAGCAGCCCTGAGGGTAAAACCGCTCTCTAATCCTTCATTTCTCCATCCGTCCAACTCATATTATCAGTCTGCCATCTTTTATCACTTCTCGTCTTTTTTGCTTGAGATGTTTTACGATTCAATCTCGTCCAGGACAGAGAAGTTAAATCAAACACATTAAAAACACGTGTGGATCTGACCCCGAGACGCCAGCGCACACACCGAGCACACAGCGAGGCCCGAAACAAACCGCGTCAACTAGCTACACAAAACACGTGACCGCAATTCATAATGCTCCGCATTCTTAGCATTGTCGCACTGTTTGGCACAACTCGAGGGAACTCTATCGCCCCCTTGAGTACTGCGGTTTACTGCAAGAGCGCACGCTAAGTATGTATGACAGGACCGAGCCAAGCATATGGAAGGCCATAACTGCCAAAAACATGTGAATTTTAACGTCAACGCGTTAAATGCGCATATTTCACGCGTAAACAATATGTATTTAACGCGTTAAATAAATGAATTAATAATGCAACAATTCCAATTTAATTTATTGCAATTAATAAATGCAATAAATTAAACTGTGCAATACTCAGATCTATATTTTCTACTGTATAGTTTCATAAGTAGAGTATATGTACAAGTAATCTTAATTTTTAAGATTTCACATATGCTTTTAATTTCTTTTTTATATGTGAGCAATGGTAACATGACCCAATTAACACCCTGGGATCAATAAATTATATCTATCATCTAATTTATTTTCCACAAATGTGATATATATTACCAGGTTTCAAATATAAATACTGTCTACAAAAATAAATACTTAATACAAAAATAAATACAAAAATTTAATCTAAAAATGAGCACCAAATAAAATCAGTCAACAATCCATTAACAAAAATATATATAGTTTTATTTTCACATTGCAATAGAACCAGTCGACAAGAAGCTACTGTTGCAGAATATTAATTACGTTTTGCAGTGCATTAATAGCCGGACTTCTGATAGTTCCTGCAAGAACGTCCACATCCTGCAGTTGTTGCATCTGTGCCTCGGTTGGACTGAATTGGTTTGCAGGAACGGTTACAACTTCCTACCAATCCACAGCAGGAATTGCACCATCTTGAGCAGGGCTGGGTCCAAAAATCTCATGGCAGTGAGTGATGATGTTTGCCTCTAAAGACATCCTTTGACAAACATCTGATTTGGTGTGTGGTGACCAGCAGTGCGCAATCCATGATTGTTCCACTGTTCCCTGAAAACCTCAAAGTCCCGGTTAATCCGTGGAAGGTACACATAACGCAGTGCGCAGATGTGTAGCTCACTGGTACAGTCAATGACTCCATCACTCTCAAGAAAGGAGAAAAACTGGTGGTACACATCAGTCATACCCCGCCAAAGATCTCCCCAAAGTCTCTTGATCCTCTGGTTGTGGACACTTCTACTACGGATGGCACTTCCACTTATAGATCCACGATAAATGTTCATAAACAAACAAACAAACTGTATTGTTTTCTCCTCCATGGTCACATCTAACTCGAGATGGAACTCCATACCTAGCTGTGGCTTGTACAAACTGGTTAAACACTGTGCCTGCCCTCTTGTCAGAAGCTTGCAAAAATACAACCAGTCTGCTGAAGCCACAGATTCCCCCATGGATCACTATTCTATATTCTAGGCTAGATGTGAAATGTTAAAAATTAAGATTACTTGTACATATGCTCCACTTATGAAACTACTGTATACAGTAGAAAATATAGATCTGAGTATTGCACAGTTTAATTTATTGCACTTATATTATTGTACTATTAAAGCATTGTATGCTTAAAGATATAAAGGATATGAAACTGTATATAAGATATACGGACATTAAGCTGCTGACAAATCTGAGGTAAATACTGTCAAGCCCCTGGACTGTCTGCCTGTATGTTTTCGTCCCCATGTGCTCTCCGTGACCCAGTTTCTGTTTCTCGTTGATTGTATGATTTGGTTCAGGTGTGTCTTTGCAAAAAAGTGTTTATTATATTTGAAATATGGATATTTTTCTTACAAAAACGCATGGATTCGCTACAGGAGGCCTTTATTCACCCCCCAGAGACGTGCGAGGCATGTTTTATTACGGATGCGCGCGCTTTATTTCACGTCTATTGGACTGTTGACAAAAAGCACCCGCTTATCCCCATTGTAATGCTTGGAGGGGCCAGGACAATTTTTAATATAACTCCGATTGGATTCGTCTGAAAGAAGAAAGTCATATACACCTAGGATGCCTCGAGGGTGAGTAAAACACAGGCTAATTTTCATTTTTGGGTGAACTAACCCTTTAAGTTTGATCACTGTTAAAGCTAGAATGTCCACTAATGTGTTTATTTACAAAAATGCATGAGTGGTGAAAAATGAGTTTTTCATAAAACTGCAATTTATATGTATTATTTCTATAGGTTATACAAAAAAATAATTTTTTTAATAATTAGGCTGAATAAGCTGATCTATAGCATGTTAAATGGTGGTTTCCTAGTCTATGAATGGTACACCCCCCTAAGCTCACAGAAGTGGTTTGACCCAAGTCCTCAGCAGCCAATGACACTGACCCTTCAAACTGACTTTTAACGTGTACGTGTGAACGACACGTTAAAATTCACGTGTTTTTGGCACATATGGCCTTCCATACAAGCATGCGTTCCTGCGTCGAGGCCTGAAGGTTCGAGCTGCAGCAGTTTGACTGACACGCACATTCATAACACGCCGTCAGAGCCAGAAACGAGATAAAGCCCCATGTCACCAGACATCAACTTTAGAGAGAGGAGCGGAATGAAGCGGCTCAGGGTTTTAATTACAGCAGACGTGCCCAGACGGATCCAAACGGCCCTGGATTAATCACTCGATCACATTTTACTGGGAAATATTCAACTTAATAACCAGCTGAAATGGTCAGGAATCCTTTCAGGTTCTGTTCTGTGGACTTATATCACATATCATAGTATTACATCAATAAAAATAAAAACTATTTCTGATGGGCAAATATTGTTTTTCAGTTGTATTAGTTCAAAAATCACCAGTTCACCGAAGCACAGGTTATTAATGGTGATAATATTAGCAAGATCTGCTTTTATTTAGCATGTTCTCGTTAATAAAATAGTATATATGAATGCTTATATTAGTAAATTAATTAATATATACGCAAATATATGAATAAATTATCACATTCATATTTATTTGCCAGTGAGTCATGATATTTGCAGCTCCAGAAGTGTCAGTACAGTTTCACAGACACGTCTCGGTCCAGTTAATAAGTAACCATTTCTGCTGTTTATGTAGTTTATGACTAAATGATGCCGTTTATAACGTGTCGCTGATATCGCGAGAGTTTGGAGCCCTAGTTCGTATGAAGTTGGGAGTTCCACAGATCTCGCGAGACTGTAGAGCGGCACTCTGACTGGGTTCTCAGATCGTCTATAGCTCCTTTTATGAAATATGAAGCATTAATAATACACGCTGATAAGTTAATAACGTGAATTTTAATTTAGTTATCACTGTTACAATCCATCAAGACGTTTATATATTAATATAATCATCTTTATGTGTTAATTTAATGAGTGTTGGGTTTGTTTTTATAATTTAAGAGCCTCCAATAGTCCAGTAGTTGTTCATACACAGAAAAATTAATCCTGATATGAAGCTATTATTGATTAAATCAGTTCATTCATTTTTATTGTCTCATTAATTTCAGTTGCTTTATATTAAACTTGATTTTTTTTTCTCAAAATGTATTTATTTATGAAAAAGTTATGCATTTTGACAATATATTAAGCTAAAAGTGATTAAAACAGTTAGTAAAAAATGTAAATGATTCATTGTTTTTTTCTCAAAAATCATGCATTTATGAAAAAAGTTACGAGTTTTGACTACACGAGACTAATAGTGATGAAAAGTTAATAAAATAAATAAAAGGTAAATAATTCATTGTTTTATATACATTGTTTATTTTCTCTCAAAAATCATGCATTTATTTATGAAAAAAGGTTATGAATTTTGGCAATATATGAAGCTAATAGTGATTAAAAGTTAATAAAATAAATAAAATGTAAATAATTGTTTTATCTATTGTTTATTTTCTCTCAAAAATCATGTATTTATTTATGAAAAATGTATGAATTATGACAACAGTGGTGGTGGTTTCATTCACTTCTGTTTTGATCTTATATTGTGTAATGTTATATTTTTAAATCATATTTCACTTAAATCATAGTCAAATACCGTGCAAAAAGAACAAGGGAAATACAAAGTGCGAAAAATTATAAACTACAAATAAAACAAAATAATTTTTATAAAATTCTGGTCTTGTGATCTCATGATTGAAATGATTTCAAGATGAGTATTTCAACATGTTACACTAATAAATGAGAGTTATGTTATTGTTTTATGCTCTGTGCCGCCGTCTACCGCTCCGCCCTCGTCGCTTCCGCCACGCCCCTCTTCTTCCATATTTGGCTATGCCTTACTAAAGCGCCTGTGGTTGGTCCGCGCGGCATCGGAGCCGAATGACCCGGATTTGCAAGCGTCGAGCCCCTCCCGCGCAGGAGCCCGGATGAGGAAGTGCAGCGCTGACAGGGCTGGGTTCCGTCAGAGAGTCGAAGCCGAACCGCGTCCAGACAGACCCGAACAGAGCCGCACAGCGAGCCGAACCCGCCGCCTTCAGTCCCGCAGAGACCGCCACCGAGCGCCGCAGACATGGTAAGAGCCGCCGCGGACGCGATTTGAGCCGATGCCCGTTTTAGGAAGAGACGCGCCGCGCCGAGCACAGTACACACTGCAGTACACACTGAAACACCCGAACAAACACTAGAGCAAGAACACCGAGGGCTGGAGTGTGTTCGGGGCTCACATGAGTTCAGTATGCGCTGGTTTTGCTGAGGGGTTCGGTGTTTGTTTGGGTTTAATGTGGCAGTTTTTCGGGTTAGTGTTTGAAGGTTTTAGTATTTATATATCTTATTTTTGAGTTTAGTATTTGTAGGCATGGTGTTAGAGTTTTTTTTAATAATAATAGAACACTATGTAATGCATGTCAATCTGCTTCTATGACAGTACTGTGTAAAATAAGTGTTTATTTCATCATTTCTGTCTGTCACATTTCAGTATTTAGTCCTCTACTCTTATTAAAACTCCCCTAATTTGAGTGTTCATGGCTGGTTTGAGTGTTTAAAGGAGTAGTTCACTTCCAGATAAGGGATAATTACCTGATCATTTACTCTGCCACGTGTCATCCGAGATGTCTTTCTGTCTTCAGTCAAAGAAATTAAGGTTTTTGAGGAAAACGTTCCAGGATTTTTCTCCATATAGTGGACTTCAATGGGGATCAACGGGTTGAAGGTCCACAGTTTCAGTGCAGCTTCAAAGAGCTCGACACGATCCAGCCGAGGAACAAGAGTCTCATCTAGAGAAACCATCACTCATTTACTAAAAAAAATAAACATAGTTTTTAACCACAAATGCTGGTCTTGCACTAGCTGGACTTCACGCATGATGTAATCACGCTGGAAAGGTGTTGTTAGTGTTTGATGGTTTAAAGTGGTATTTTTGGGGTTTAATGTTTGTTGGTTTAGTGTTTGAGGGTTTTAGTATTAGACTTTTGGGGTTTGAGAGTTTTAATATTTAAGGGTTTATTATCTGGGTCAGTATTTGAGTTTAGTATTACTGTTTAAGTTTAACCATCAGAGTTTAGTGTTTGATGGGTTCAGTATTTGGGTTTTCTTGAATTTAGTATTTGAGGTAGTTTAGTGTTTGAAGGGTTTATGTTTTAGTGTTTGAGGGTTTAAGGTGGTGTTTGTTGGTTTAGTGTTTGAGGGTTTAAGGTGGTGTTTGTTGGTTTAGTGTTTGAGGGTTTAAGGTGGTGTTTGTTGGTTTAGTGTTTGAGGGTTTAAGGTGGTGTTTGTTGGTTTAGTGTTTGAGGGTGTTAGTGTTAGACTTGGGGTTTGGGAGTTTAATATTTTAATGTTTAAATACTGAATCAGTATTTGAGGGTTTAGTATTTATGTTTGAGTTTAACCGTCAGAGTTTATTGTTTGATGAGTTCAGTATTTGTTTGGGTTTTCTTGAATTTCGTATGTGAGGTAGTTTAGTGCTTGGTGTTTATATTGTTTTTAGTTTAGGTGTTTTAGGGGTGCATTGGACAGTTTGTTGGAGGTGTTAGTGTTTGAGGGATTAAGGTGGTATTTTTGGGGTTTAATGTTTTTTTTTTTTTTTTAGTGTTTGAGGGTTTTAGTTAGTAATAGACCAATATGTATATCATTGTCATCACTAGTGTTGTCACGGTGCAAAAATTTCAGTATTCGGTACCAATACCAGTGAAAATCCACGGTTCTCAGTACCAAAGCAAAACACAAAAACATGCTAATTAAAAAATTTGACTATACTTCCATTTAATCCAAACTGTGTACATATTTAATTTTAAAGGGCTTTTGAAAACCTTCTAGAGTTATTCAGCCAAGAATAACAACTAAGTTAGCTAAAAAAAAAATTAAAAAAAGCCCAGAACTGCTTTTCTGACTGATATGACACAAACAGTGTTAACCATTTGTACATTCTCTAACACGCATATTTTAGATTCACAATTAATTTAAAAGCCTCAGGGGTGTAAATATTAGAGCCCGACCGATATGGGTTTTTTGGGGGCCGATATTAGGGGGTAAATAAAGACAGATATCGATATATCGGCCGATATTCTTGGTGTAGGCTATATTATAGTACAGTATTGTCAAAAGTTTGGACACACTTCCCATCAAAAAATCGCATTCGATTTTTTGCACAGCCCTATTTTCTGGTAATCAAATGAACATGCAGAACATGAGGATTCGTATTTAAATAAGTCTTTTTGCAGTTTAATATTCACAGACACAGTCTATATATATGTACTGACCTGTTTTTTATTTATTCATCAAAATAAGACAAATTCCATGAAATTCCGCGTTATACAGTAAATTCCGTTTTTATGACTTCGCATTGCGGAAATCATAGGGCCCTACTAATGTAGCAAACGAATATGATAAACTCATTGTGAGAGTAAAAGACAGGGACATTTGTTGTTTATTTACTTAGCATTGAGTCTCTCCAACTAGATGACAACGTAGTGTTAAATCACCATTCAACAGACTCAAGCCACCACCGCACTGCCGTCTACTGGACTGCAGAAACATACTAACTTTTCAATCTGCTACGTTACTGATTGTACTGACAAACTATGCTGACACCGTGTCCGCGATGCGACAAAGCGACTGTTGAAAATCATTTGAACTTTGTGTCAGCACGTCATAAATAGAACGAGGCATCAGTTTACTGGATCCAGTGACAACATCACTGATTATAATGGGTTCTATTCTACACCGGATGTGAGCGACGCGCGATGTGACCGATGTGATAAGCATGAGTTCTGGGCCGCGGCGTGGCCGGAATAAAC